TTTGAGAGGATAGCAAGCCGGGTTCGGGATTGGCCCGAAAAGGCACTAGTAGGTGCATTTGTAGGAGGCTTAAAGGCTGAGTTGGCTGCGGAAGTACGGTTGGACCGGCCACGGTCGACAAGGGCTGCCATGGAAGCAGCACGACTGCACGAGGATCATCTCGTGGCAGTGCGCAAGGCCAGACCAAGCGAGGGGCGCGCGGACGTTCGGCGCGCGAGCGTCACGGTCGACGATACGCCCCCACGGGCCGAGGTCAAGCCGACGGTTGGTGAGGGTACACGCACCACTAGCAACTACCGACGATTGACGGAGGATGAGATACAAAGGCGAAGGGAGAAAGGCTTGTGCTTTACTTGCAACGAAAAATTTACGCCAGGCCACAAGTGCAAGGGTAAGGAAATTTTTGTGTTGGAAATTGAGGAGGGACGAGAGGAAGAAAAGCCGCAGGAAGAGTCTTGGTTGCACATGGTGAAGTGCAACAAGCGTGGGCCTAGGATGATCAGATTCACGGCCGAGGTAAAAGACATGTTGTTAGAAGTTCTGGTGGACAGTGGGTCGAGCTTAAATTTCATCGATGAAAGGATAGACCAAAAGCTGAAGCTAAAATCCACGAAAGTCAAGAGGTATGGTGTCAAGGTGGCCAACGGACACGAGCTGCAAGGAAGTCAATTATTCAAGAAGGTCCCGATAATGGCACAGGATCACGAGCTGGAGATTGATCTTTATGCCTTACCCTTAAGGCGACGGATATTGTGCTAGGAGTACAGTGGCTGGAAACGCTTGGACCTATCATGACTGACTATAAGCGAGGAAAGATGGAGTTTGGAAGACCCGGAAAACGCATTAAATTGAGGACTGAGGATCAAGGTGAATTCCCCGTTGAAGAAGAAGATAGTGATGTGGATGTGCTGAACTTTCTCATCCTTGGGGACAAGGAACATCTTGAAGAGGAGGGGAATGATACGGAAGTGGTCGTCGAGGCCGAAGGATGGTCGGGGGTGACCGAGGGTCGAACAGGCAAGAGGCGCGCATCGGGCGGTGATGCGCGAGGACCGCTGACCAGCATACGGGTGTACGCGGGTGCACGCGGGTGCACGCGGTGGCGCGGTAGGCAAGCAGGCCGCGGGTGTTGGACGGTACGCGCAGGCAGCAAGCGACGGGCGAGAGGGGCGCGCTGGGCGCGCGAGTAATGGAGACGCAAGCGGAAGCCGAGGCCGAGTAGGAGAAGGCATGGTGGGCACGGACGCGTACGCACGAGGAGCGGATGATGGGCGTGCGATACAAATCGAGAGGCGCGGTTGGGGCGCAAGCGCGCAAGGCCTAAGCCTCGAGGGCTTAGGAATGATCGGCGACGCACACGCGCGGGAGGGCAGCAGCAATGGCGGTGCGTGCGCACTGGCGCGCGATTGGGAAGCAAACGCGCGAAGCCTAGTCCGTGCGGGACTAGGCGAGGCTGAGGCGGCGTGCGCAACGCGTGCGACGCGTGAAGAGTAGGGCGGCTGAATTACTTGGGGCGTGTGGATGGGATTTGTTTGGAGTGCAAGCCAAGCAAGATCAAGATCTAGTCAATTTAGGACTTTGATATATTTAGTTTTCTTCTTGCACAATAGTATCTAGAATGTTTAGAAAGTTAATTTTTTATTGCTTTAATATGTTTCCTAGGTAGATTAGAATTAGTCATAG